ATAAATGCTTACAAAAATTAATGATGGTGGCTTTGTGCTGTGCTTAGTGAACAAATTTTGCCTACCCCAATGGTTCTTAAGTCTAATGTTTAATAAATTGATATCAGGATTAATAAATATAAACCTTAACGTGTTAAATTGAAGTTATGAGGCAAGCAGCATTAGAAGTGAAAATGCAATGGCAGCCCAATTTAGTTGGAAGTAGAAACCCCTGCAGAACTCAGCAGGATTTACTCCCAAGTAGGATTTATTTGCAAATATGCATGCATAAGATCCTACTGTATGTACTCTGGGCATTGCAAGCACGTGCCCGTGTTTGCATGCATAGAGTAAGCCTTATTTATTTCACTTACATATGGATAGGATCAAGCTTGATAAGAGAGCTTGCTTCTAGTAAGAAAAGAAGAGAGCTTAGAACTTGAAGCATGGATCTTTGATTGTCAGGCTGACTAGTATATGGGAAAATGATATGTTTTGCTAGTTGGAGGGACTCCAAGTTGGACTCCACATTTTTCTCAAAACAGCAGCACATGATGTGTTTTGCTAGTTGGAGGGACTCCACATTTTTCTCAAAACAGCAGCAATTGGCAGTTGATAACACCAGTGTATTACCACCAAAGTTGTATTATCATTAAACATTTTTGCCATATATGAAAAGATTGCTTTCTGAAGAAAAAGAAAAAACGAAATCCACCTCTCCCTAGCTGGAATGGGACTGTTATTTTACAAGAGATAGCAGAATCCTGCCACCTAGTGAAACTTAGTGATTCCAAATGTAGAAGCTATTTGAATAAAAGAGAATGAGGAGGTGAATAATAACAACAAGAACAACCAAAAAGCTGTGCCAGAGTTAGAAATTTAGAGAAATTTAGCTCAGTCAAAGAGCATGGAAAAGTTATAGACTAGAAATTACAGAATCCTTCAGCCAACATGCCAGTGACCATATTGGAAGATTCTGAGAGCCAAAATTCCAAAAAGTAACTTTCCCAAGTTTTATTCAGTTACAGTACATACCACGTGAAGGTGTGTGGATTGTCGACAACAGTCATTACAAGTACCCTTAAAGATCAGTCCAAGGTAGCAGGCAGATACATCTCTACAATTTTGTTCAATGTAACAATTCGTGTTAATCAGTTCCTTTATTAACCACTTAAATAAGAACATGTAAGAACTGTGTTGGCTGGATGAAACAAAGGATGTATCTAGTCCAGTATTATTTTTCCAGCAGCAGCTAGTGAGATGTATGTGGAAACTTGAGAGCAAATAGCAATGTCATCCTTTTCTTTTGTCCTCAGCATCTGGTTTTCACAGGTGGTTTGATTCTCTTCATGAAGGAACCATTTTGCTATCATACCTAACAACATGTCTACCAAGAATTAATATGAAGTTGTTGGCTTAAATCCAGCGCCTGATATAAACTACAGTAGACCCATTGAATCTGTGGGATCTGACATGTTATTCAGCAACTGATTCAATGCATCTACTGTAGTAGGTCTACTTATTGAACTTAATGCCATCATCATCAGTTTATCATCACCTTCCTCAGTAGTAAAATATCTGCAGAGTAGCTGACACAACAGCATCAAAAAAGTTGTTATAAAAGGCTACAAAAACATTGCCCAAGATGTGAGAAAGATGAACTGGTCCTCCAAGAGATAGCCTATGAATAAGCCCCTGCTATTATGGTCTGGAGTCACACTGAATGTATCTAGAAAGAGTCAAAACCCCGCCCTGTAAAATCAAGTGAAATGAAAATTTCCACTTGTAAATCTCACTCCTAATGCAGGAATGAAGTCTCACTGAGGTAGCAACTAGATGTTCTAAGCCAGTGGGTATTTCCCCAACTTGTGTAAGTTTTAAGACACCACAAGATTTTTAAAAAGTGAAAAGACCCCCAGCAAAATGACTTTGGATAGCCTTTCAAAGGAATATAAAACCAGTTTAAGTGATGTAACTTCAGTGTTTTCAATTAATAATTCTTACTATTATCTACTGATCTATACATTGTTGATTTGAGAAGATGGCCACCAAGTTAAAAGGAGTGAGCTAAAATGGCACACCGTTTTTAAAAATAGTAAACGTAGAAACGGGGCTTGGTTGAAATAACCCCTCTCTCATACATATTGTACACAAATTATAGTCATGGGATTCCATCCATTTAGACTCTTTCCCAGTGTACTGTTGGTCTACAAGGGAAAGGGATGCCTGCCAAACTTTGTTCCAGTATGTTCTGTTATCCAAAGTTCCCAAGAGAACTAGTGACTCAGCAAATCTTGGGAGCATCCTGCTCTGACAGTTAAGCTGGTCTAAGGAATTCTAGGATCATCCATTACAGACACTGAAAGTTTCTTGGTCTGTTTTTGTATGGGATCTTTCTCTGTTTCTCCTGGGATAAAAATCCAGTTGCTTGTTTTAGCTTTTGATTACACAAAACAGGACCTATAAGCAGAATGTGTAATAAGCACTCTTCCAAGTCCAGTGACATCCTAATCAGGGGGAATTCTAGCCCCCTTTCATATAGTATTTTAGATGTACAGAAGGCAGGAAGACTGTATATTTCCAACTGTTGACTGCCATAACCTGACAATGCTTATGAAGAGAGATGCTACACAATACAACATTTCTGTGAAACCTCTCCATATCATGAGGAAACAATTGTTGGTGGCACCAAGCAAACTTCTTTGGAATGGGCATTCCATAGCCAGGGCATACATGCTGAAAAAAAACATGGACTTCGAAGATTTCATTTGTACCTACGTTGGAAAGGCTATATGGAAATGATCCTCTGCAAATTTGGGGTAAACACCCTAGCAAGGGCCACTTAGACTTACACTTATGCAGCTTTGCTATAGAGTAATCCTATGGTTTTAGTCAACTCTACTAGAATGTTGGTGAAGCAGGAAAGTATGCATGGTGGTAGAAGTTATTCTACTGTTAACTTTTATAACTTGCTTCGTAACAGGTTTTACATCATAGTATTCTCCAAATGCAAGCCAGTGTGAGGAAGGGATACTTATTACTTTTGGATGTAATTCTGTATATTTCTACCCCAAAATTTCACACAGTGGGACTTACATCTGAGCAGAATAGCAATGTACTGTTAATGGTTATACAAATAGGGGGCCCTGTCATATTGATTAGTTAATTGCAGATACAACTGACTTGAGCGAACATAATTATATTGCAACATGGATTCAATTTCCCATAACGTAATAAAGAGCAATTGAATGTGCTTATTTGCTTATATTTGTCAAAGTTTTGTTGGTCATCTGCAGAACAGTGTGGACAAAATCCTATTGAGGTTTTACTCCAATTTAACACAGTTGGTGTAAATCTCACTAACAAATTGTTGCAAGTTAAGAAGTTAGCATTTCCTGTTGCACAACAAGTCATTCAACTCAATGCAAAAGACCAAATGCCTACACTAGCTTCTAAATTTGCACCAATTCACAAACAAGATTTGTCTCAACTGCTTTACATCATCAGGTACAACTAGAAGGATTTTGGCTAATACTGTACTAGAAGTGATGAGGATGAAGTACCATCTTCTCCATAAACCTTTGCACAAAAATGTTGCAGTGAACTTCTGCTTTCTCCCAGTAGTCTTACCCCAAATTAAAAATATTTAAGATATCAGGGTGCTAAATGTTCTTAAGGAGTGCCATGCTTGATAGTATGGGAGAAAATATAGTTTACTTTTTAAAAATGTGTTTGTGACATATATACATCCCCAGAAGTGAGACAGACATGAAAATATTCTAGTTTAGTTTTTATCTGGTATGTCCTCATGAAGAAAATTGAGTATTTTTGTTTTTGTTTGTTTGTTTGTTTTTTTGCCATTGATTCCCAAAGCAGCATGCATCAGAAAAAATTCTTCTTTAAAAATGGTAGAAGTAGGTGGCCCCATGGTCAACGTAATCTAAGCAGGTATGCAGGTTTTAACTCTATTGCTGATATATGTCCACTGGACAGAACTGAGAGACTAAAAAGGGGCTGTAAAGAAAAAAATAATGAGTCAAAGAGCCTTATATTTTAGTTCAACATTTCCTGTGTGCTTAATTGTGCCAAGTATGTCCTCTTCATTGCAATCTTCAAGTTTGGGAAACAAAGATAATGCAATAGGAGTAAGGCAAGACAGTTCTAAAATGTATGGTGCGAACTTCTGAACCTTTTGCTTTTATAATGATATCATAACATCTAT